AGGAACAAGCAGAGCCAGAATACATGACGGTGAAAGTTAGAGAAACTTTTAAAGATACCAAAAGCAGAACACATGCAGGCTTTTAGGCTTTCTGCAGACTGGATTCCATCAATCATTTGAAACAGCAGTTTACACGAGGTTCAGCATGAAACATGTGGTAGATTTGCACCAATAAAACACCCAGAGCTGATTGATTTACACTGATTTATCTCTGGTCCAAAAACTGCTTTTTGTTGCAAATTAAATACTTTTCTCTGCAGACCGCACTCCTCCTTGTTTTCCTCAGGTTGTTGAAAGCAAAGAGGAAAACGAGCTGCAAATGATGCTACAGATTCAGTCTGTGTATCAGCTGCAAACAGTATGTTAAAACTACACATTTCTAGGATTTCTAGTGTCCAGGTAGACTGGTTGGTGGATGTGCTCTTATCCAAGTGAATTCTCATCGGTTGGGCAATCTCTGGTGTTACTTTGATGAGGAGACAAGTGTCACATCAACAGCTTGGCAGGATTAATCCATTATTTTTGGCGGCAGGAGGGAGAGACTCATATTTTCGCAACTTTGAACTCGACCAACCAAAACAGAAACTGTTAACTTTTTTAACATTTACTGAACTTCAGCTACAATCTAGATGTCAAAGAAGTCGTCAGTGTGGCGGCAGTTTGTTCAAACAAATGGCTAAAATGTTGAGTTTAACAGGCAACACTGCTGAACATCTAAAAACAGTAGGCTAACTTGTCTGCGTTATATTACCGAATAGTTCTTGTGCTGTGTTCTATTTTCAAATCATGTGAATATGGGCAGGCTGCTCTGCTCTAATCACGTTAAAATATCATTTAGCACGCTGCAATACTCGCTTTGTAAAGTTTAAAAGATAAAATAAACTCATTGAGGCTGGTGAAGTTCATGCACTGGGGCAGTTTTAGTTAATTTAGTGACAGCACAGATTTTTTTACCAGCAACAAATCGACTGGTTGAAGACTGATTTCAGTCAATCAACACTGTCTTTGGTTGATTACAGCCCTGCAACTTTTCCACCATTTTTTGTTTTATTGAAAAGCTTTAAAATACCACAGAAGCATCTTTTATCTGTCCATCGGATCCGAGCAGGTGTGATTCTGAGGAACGTCTGAATGGCTGAAACTCAAATACTTTACTCCCTAGTTGGCTCTGTGTTTATTAAAACTAACAGTGAGCATCTAAAAATGTTCCCAGCTGCTTAAATTTTCCTCCTCTGCCTCTGAGCTGGCGGCGTCCTCTTCCACACCTCCTGTCTGGTGTCGAGCCGCCATCACTTCACCGGGAGGTGTCACGCCGAGATCCGGGCAGATTTTATCTATTATGGGAGGGCGTGATTCATGGAGGCGGAGGCAGCTCAAGGAAAACCAATCCTGTGACACTTTTCTCCCCTGCGCTGTACACAGGGGCAGCAGCAGCTACAGAAGGACAAGGCAGCGGCAGCCGGTCGCCCCTGACAACCGTGATAAAATGGCCTTCCTTAACTAAACTCGTAAAGCACAGGGCGATAAAACTCAATCTTCTGTAAAATCCAATTAAGTCATTATCTGACTGATTGTATCTTTAATTGAAAACAGAAGTGACAGTAAATTTCTGTGATATATCAGGATCAATCGATACTGCCGTACAATCTGGTCTCAAGAGGTGATTTATAATGTCAAAGCCTTATAGGTAACTCCACATTCTTCTCTCTAAAACCACTGGTGGATGAAATTAAGAGTAAGTGCGTTTCATAAAAAAACAAGATGGTCACGTTATTGATTACAACAGATGGGGCAGAATCCAATGAATGTTCCCACAGCGCGGCCGAAAGAAAATACAAGTAATTTTCTTTGTCTGTTTTATATTGTTGTTCCCAGCACACCATCACATTTACACTCCATCACTTAGAGCATTTTTATTTCCCTAAAACTTGTAGCGACATAAACTCCAAAGCTCCAAATTACTTTTGTTGCTGTCTTATTCAAACACAAACACAAATAAACATGTGGAAAGCATGCAGTTTGAAATGAATCTCCATAAAACACAAACAATATACAGTACAGGAGAGTACGAGTCGGCTTCACAAAGGCAGAAAAAGTTGGCAAAATCTCGTCTGAGTTGTTTTGTTTTTTCTTTTGATTTACATTTTAACAACGCAGCTCAAAAGTGGGCAACACAAGATTACTTTTGTTAGTTCACGAAGTAAAAGAAAATGAGATTGTTTCGGGGTTATGACTGTTTGCGTCTAAATTTGAACTGTACAACACTGCGACTTGTTTATTTATCTGCTAAATATACAGATGCAGAGATTAAAGGATTTACAATTATTTTATTATCAATTAATCTGCCAATTATTATTTTTGGATTAGTTATTTTTTTTATATAGTTTCAAAAAAAGAATGAAAAATCTCATATTCACAGATCTCAAGATGATTGTTTTTCCCTCACTGACGATCCAGAAGTCAAAGATATTCAATTGGCTAAAACGACTGCCATAAAAACCTACATTTGAGAAGCTAAAACCTCAAAATGTTTTCCTTGAAGAATGCCTGTAGAGATTAACTGACTGTCACATTGGCTGCAGATGGATGCCTCAGCCTCGGCTCCGACTACAAGGTCGTACCCAAGTGTGGAAAAAGTTGTAAACAGTAACCCACACGGCAAAACTCCCCGGCCTGAAGGAGTTAAATATACAATAGACATGCAAATTCTGTGGAATAAACGACGCCGCTGGATCAGTGTCATAAATAAGCAGCCGGCGCTCATCACACGCCAACGCGGGCGAGGGAAACATGATTCATGTCGAACCCGCCTTCATTCTCTCGGCTAACCCTCGAGTCGCGCGTTGTCCTACAGGAGGAGATCTCTGCGTGTCTGATGACGGCTCTGTCTCTAAACTTTAACTCAGAGACATTTTCATTTAATCCAGAAAATAGAAACTCAAGGTTTTGAGGTTTAGCATCTCAGAAAGCAGCAGACTTTTTTTTTTTTTTTTAATTATCTGATTGTTATTCAGGGTAAATATTTGTTCTGGGAGTGTAAGTCAAATAAAGTCTAATCATAAATCTAACTGGGCTACATGTAGGTTAAAAGTGTTTTTTTTAAATGGAGCTACAGTAGACTGATACGTCAGCCAATATTCAATTTAGTGCAAATATATTTAGTAGTGGTGTTCAGTATCTGTTGACCGATTAAGCAACTGTTGTCCAGAAGTGCCAAAGAAAGACGTACTTAAGGTAATTTATAAACAGTCACATCACATTGTCTATGAATGTTTGATGAAATATGTCAGTCAGCACATGTATTGCTTAAAAGTCTTACCAAAAAAAATAAATAAAGAAAATTCAAAGAATCCCTAATAATTATAAAAATGTCCCCAAAAATCCAATTCATGGGTTTAGATTTTAACAGCATCTTAGGCTGGGCTCACACGACAGGAGTTGAAATCAGGTTGGATCACACACATTAAGAGAAAATTCATAGATATTCTTGTCTAATTTCAGACACGCCACAACATTGTGAAATAATGTTGACTCGCACATAACGGGATATTGTTGTAGCAGAGGGAGCAGTCAGGGAGCAGAGCGCCACCTTAAATAATCTCATGAGGAAGCAGATGTAAACAAAATGGAAAATGTGGAGCAACAACTTGCTCTAATAATACTTAACAGTGAGAAAGGGGAGAAAAAAAATATTCTAAATGAGAAGAGATTTTAACTATTAGCTTTTATATCTGTAGCTAAAATCATCCTCAGGGGCTGGAGCGTTAATTGCTATTGAGGGCGATAGTCTGATCATCATAACCTGCCTGACTTTAACTTGTGAATTTGAAAAAAAACGTGTCTGAACATGTGTGCATTTTGAGAGGTTTTACAGTGGATCTGTAAAGTCCTCACATTACCAAATAATCTGATAGTCTGTATATTCAAGATCCCAGACTAGATTTCTCCTCGGATTGTCGAGAGGGTTGAAATGAGGATAAATCTGCCTGAAACTCCTGTCGTCTGAGCCGGGCATTAGTGGCAGCATTTCAGACGGAAGCAGGTTCTGACTAAACCTGGAAATCTAATATCAATTAAATGTGGTAAAAACAAAAATGATATGTAACGTAATTCTTCTTAGAAGTCTTGTTTTTGCTGACCTACCTACAGCGATGTCGAAGTGTAGTTGAGGACGTGTCAGTACAGTGTGGTCTCGTCAGAACTGATAAGTTAGTCTTTAACGTCAGAAAAAAACAAAAAACGGTTATTTTATTTTGATATTTGAACATCTCATGACTTGCAGATTACTAAATAAGTGCTTACTGGGAAGATGTGCCCACTTTTGTCTACTGTCTGTTTCACTGGACAACAAGACTGTGTTCAATAGCTGCAACTAAAAACTAATAAACTAACAAGAACTCATAATAGTTTTTACTACATGTATTGTTGCATGTATTGCATATCAAACATCAAGCCAAATTTCAAGTTTTAATTTATTTTTTTTTAAATAAGTGCTTGGGATTTGCCTGCAGTATATCATCATTCCAGTTTATCAAATTAAAAAATAATTTGCCTTTACAAACTCTAAGCCTGCAGTCTGATGATCACTATTATTATGATTTCTTCTGTTGCATCACTTCATCTTCTGCAACTAACACTTTACTTTGTGTTCTGAATTGCTGTCTAGTTTCAATAACTTGGTCCAATCTTGTTTATTGCTAATAAAGAATCGCATTTACTGGACTTGCAGTCGCTTTTAAAATTGTCGTTGCAAACAGTGCTTCTCAAATATCTGAATACTGTCATTTGTGAACTTTCTATTCAGGTCAACTGGTTTCAACAAAAGATTTAACAGCTTTGAATAAAAATATGCAAATAACCTGAACCGTCAGCTACAGAGTAGAAAACACGTCCTGAACAGGAACATGAAAATTTCAGCAACAATGAGCTTGAACTGTGAACTGTTTTGCAAGAACGTATGATCTAATGCTTTTGTCGTGTCATGTGTTCCTTAGCTTCTTTCACTTGGCGGTGTCATCGTTGATGGAGTCAACAGTGAAGTTGGCCATCTGGTTGCCGGCCTCGCACTCAGCCTTCCCGTCAGAGCTGACCAGGGAGCTGATGGAGCGGCAAATCATGGTGGAGTCCTGACTGGCGGTGACGCTGCCGGACGAGAAGGCTGCAGGGACGAGACACAGAAAGTCCTGATCAGAGAGCCGCTGACGAGCTTCAAAAAGTGCTCGTCTAATAACATCTGAAACATGAGTAAAAGTGGAGGTAAGAAAGAGGTTTGAACTTCTCTCTCAGGGTCTTTTTTTCCATCCTCATCACAGCAACTGCTTCACTTCATTAAGCTAACTCAAGTTTAACATGTGAGAGACAGAGCAGAGTTCAAATGTGGCCGTTGGAGCACCCCTGCAGTGAAAAAACAACCCTGTTAACATGTGATAGTTGTGTTTTTTAATGCTACAAGATGCATCATGAGCAAAATAAGTAGTCGACAAAATGGCTGTTCCTTGAAACTGCAGCATACGGGAGTTTAGACTTTTAAGATTTCGAACATAACAAACCTAAGGAACCAGTCCTGTCAACTTGCTTCTGGAGCTTTTCATATCATTATTCTTCTTTAGACCGACACATCAGCCTTGTAGTGTTCGGTATCAGTCGGCTGAACAAGAAACTGCTGTCCACAAGTGGCAAAGAAATATTTGAGGTAATTTAGAAACAGCTGCATTATATTGATTATGTCTGATAAAATATGTCACTCAGTGCAAATATTGACTAAAATTCTTACAAGAAACTAATTTAAGGAATCCTTAATAATAAAATTGTCCTCAAGTTTTCATGGGCTGAAGTTTTAACAGCATCTTAGGTCAGGCTCACACAACAGGAGTTTTAAAATGCGGATAAATGTGGAAATGAGGCTGCATCATAAGGAGAAACTTGACAGATATTTTTCACTCTAATTTCAGACATGCACAAACTAGACATTTGAAAACATTTGGGAATCGCACACCGCAGATTTTCATATCATGATTTTTCAAAATCGGTTTCTACTTTGAACATGTATGGCTGAATTACCACTGTGTAGTGTAGAGGAGCGTTCATGTTACAGTGCAGTACAGGGCAGGGCTATATAGCTGAAATATTTATCACAATAAAAGTTTGATTTCAGTCACTATTGACAATTACTGTGAATCTTTAAATACCTATTGTCATTAAAGACAGGGAGAGAAAAGGCTAAGTTTAATTGAATTATTTTGCTTTGATTTTGACCACTTTAGCCCATTTATCAAGGTAAACAGGTGATAATGTTAATGCTACCATGACAATTTGCAAATGTACAAAAGTAAGTAACACTGCAACTTGATTAAGGCAAGTTTAAACACCTGGAGGCACACAGAGGGTGATGGGGCAATGCTGCCTCACCATGCGTAGGTTGACCAGGACCTGATATCATTGGAAGGGTATTCGACCTCCATGCACATCCTGCGTCAAGTCCACCAGGCCTCGGAGCAGGCTGCCGGGAGTGTATTGCATAGATGAAGGTGGTGGGGGACACAGGGTGTTGCCTGTTTTACAAGCTAACTACCAAGGTAACCACAGACTAGCAGGCTTTGGAAGATCTGCACGGATGCCACTGGGAGAAGAACGGAGGGTGCAGAGAACTCAGTTATCAAGATATAATGGGCTGTTTAAGAGCCAGTCAGGGTGCAAGCTTGAAGTTCGCTCATAAAATTAAACTTTGTTTTTTTCTAATGTGCTTACATTATTGATTGATTTTCTTATTGCTATTGATGTAGTGTCAGTCGCCAGTACATATCCCAAACATTTTCCCTCCAATGCCTAGTTTGAGCAGGCATAAGTGAGCTGGTGTGCTCCAGTTGCCACAAGGAGGGAGAGACAGGGCCTTCTTTAAGCCAAGAAAGGATTACTCTTATGGACAAAACGAATAAATATGAAACTTTCATACACATAGATGAGTTTTTACAGATTAAACTAACACTTGAAGGAAGATTTTATTTGTAAATGTTGTTTTTGCAAGTGACAAACACCCCACTCCCTAATCTGCTGAACATCACATGTCCACTATGAAGCACCATGTGAGTGTTACTTGAAGCTGATCAGTGATGGTACTCGGAGTTAAAGTCCACTGTTGCCCACTGTCCTGATCGCACCAACACAATCAGACAACATCTCATCAGACACAGAAAGCCAACCAAGACGTGCATTGATGATGACTTGAGTGCATCTGTTGTTGTTAGTGCTAAAATCGTACTGGAGGCGAATTAGTGGTTTTGTAGTTGCTAACTGTACATCAAGCCACCCAGATGAGGTCAAAGTGGCTCATTACAATATATGTTGGGGTAAATTCCTTTTCCAGGATAATCTCTACCCACTGAAATAATGAAAAACCTTAACATAAAAATCTGCCCCACTACAGTAAAATGTGATTATGATTCAAAAAACAGATAAACATCAAATCTTTCACTTGTCTTCCGGGTATCAAGCTACAAATCTTTTTCTCAGATACTCCTCAAAGTCATTAATATGATAAATTCATATTGCCTCTTGTAGGTAGACAGTACAGAGCACGCATAAAATAAACACGTCTATGCGCTGTAAGGCGAGTAAATAGAAATACTATAGTGAGACAGACAAAACAGGACAGTCTAATCATCAGCACTGCAGAATAAATGGTCCTCTCTGTTAGTGCTGATATAAATATGACTGTACAGTGAAATGATTCTTGGCAAAGCTCGGGATTTATAGCAAATTGAATCAGCGAGCAAAAAGGGAAGACAGTGACCACAAAACAAAAGCATTATATCTTTTACAGTTAACACCAGAGCGATGTGCACCCACCCGTTTTAGCACTCGTTCCACAGCTACTGCACACACTAATAACACCGAGAGGCCGGCAGACATTAGGCCGCGCTGTTTTCACACTCATTCAAATGTTAATAATGTTTAATAACCATCATGCACCTTCATTACTGTGTATGTTTTTATGGTTTAATCCTCAGTTATAAGCGCTATCAAGCTGTATTCCATTTATCTGTGCGTTTTAAGTACACAGTTGATTTGGATAAATGCTTTATCTGTGATGTAATTTATGAAGTGAAAACAACACTGATCGTGACATTTCCAGCTTCTCAGCTCAGAGGTTTTGACCAAACTAAAAAGAATCTGAAGACATTACATGGTGGTCTAGAAACACACGATGCAACTAAAGATTAAACAAGTTATCAGTTACTCATTTAATCAAGAAATAGCGTCCAAAAAGAGTAAAAATACTCATCATGGTTTCTCAAACGAGGTAACATCTTTTCAAATGAGAAGAAAAGCAGCATGTGAGAGAAAGTAATAAGTGTATTTTTCTTGAAAAGCTGCAACTATCAATTATTACTTATTATTACTTGTGTTTCAATACTGACACCAACCAAAACACGACATTTTGACAATTTAATGTGAGACGTATGAAAAAAAAAAATCTATGAAACTATCTTTTTTTTCATGTAATAAATGAAGCAAAGCTTTGTACTACTCGACCATATCAGCCTCTGTACAAGAACTCCTATTAAATGTTCAGAAATTGGCAAAATTATGATTACATTTAGATACTACAGGGTTAGAGAATAAGCAATTAAGGATTTGATAAGCCTTTGGTGAGCACATTCCTGTCCAAATCAAAGAAAATACAGAAAAAGCTTAGCTGTTTATGAAAGTAAAACAAATAAAGAACATTGTGGGATCATTAGCAGAGCACACATTATTTGTAGGTATAACAGTTCACTCATCAACAACAAAAAAAGAACCAACAATTCAACAACAATTTTAATAACTTTGAAAGCAGAACCGTAAACTCAAACTAGTTTCAGCTTCCTAAATAAGGTTTTTTTTATATTATTACAACTCCGAAAATTAAATATCTATCGGGTACATTTGAAGATGTTGAAATAATTGATTTATAAACCAAACCAGGAAAATAATCAGAACATTAATCAACACTAAACTTGGATCACTCTGCAGTCCTAATTATTATAGAAATTATATATTGGTTCTCAAAAGGAGACATGACCACTGAGAAAAATACAGACAAATCAATTTATAAGATTCATTATCTCACAAAAACAAATACAACTACTTCTATTTTTATTTTTAACTATTATCGATGATACAACTGTAATCAACTCAAATCCTAAAAACCTAAAAATTTCTCTGCGTTTTAAATGTCTCTCTCTCTCTTTCTCGCCCTCTCTCCTCCTCAGCAGCGGTGGGAGGGAAAAGAGGAGTAATTTTTCTCCTCATTAACTTCCTGATTGGTTTCGGACTCCAATTTTTGCCCGTCTGCAGTTTGTCACCAGTTCTGAACTGGCAGCCCAATCGTTAATACTAATGTTTGTGTAGCTAAGTGCAGCCTGCTCTTTTTTCATCCCTCAGTGGTCCACTTGTACAGCAATAACAGCGAGTGGGTGGGGGAGAGCAGCTGTGAATTAGCCCGCTCACTGTTAATTCTCTGCCTGTTCATCAGCAGGAAATCTATGATGTAATTAAAGGCTGAAAGCAACTGGACGTGTTAGTTTCAGTGGGGATGTTAAATCACGACACACTGTAGTAAACATGTTCTCTGCTGCCGCCGACTGTCCTCTGCTCTCCTGTTTAATACAGATTAATGTCGGGACGCTGAAACGGCACAACGTCTTGTTCCCAATTAGCTGTCGAGCACCTGTTAACGACACGGCGACTAATTAAACAATTAAATTAGTTTCACTGGCAGCTGATTGTTAGCCAACCAGTCAGCATGTGGATCGTAACAAATGCCGCATGGATTGCCATGAAATGTACTACAAACAATCGTGACCTCCTGAGGATGAACTGAAATAACTTTGGTGACGTCCTGAGTTTCTTTTAGCGCCACCATCTGGTAAAAATCAGAGTTTGCCCAAACCTTTGTTTTATGGTATTAAATCTGGATTGCTTTGCACACATAGGGCAAAACATCAGTCTTCTCTCTAATCTGGGACATAAGTACACGATGCACAGTAAAGGATAATATTATGACTTCACATGATCTCATGGAGATGTAAACAAAACAGAGGAAACTTGCTGTAACGTTAATATTACTTAGCAGTGATTTTTAAAAGAAGAAGAAGAAGAAGCAAAAGTCTGGATGAG